TGACACAACAGCAGTGGACCGCACCACTGTGACCAGCTGCCAGACGTGTTGCTCTCCTCTCTCACACCACCTCCTGTCAGGGAGTCTATTCTTCTCAGCCCTAAGTGTTAGTAATTATGCTTTGTGGGTAACTTCAGTAAGGAAGTGTTCTAATATAATTCACAGCTGAGTCAGGCTTAGTTTTGTCATGTCACACTCACTGGATGAAATGTGCTTCTATTCATCAGACAAGAGGTACTGTGTTTGGCAGTAAGGCTTGGACATAAAACCTATGGAGTGTGATCTCTTGGTCATGGGACTGTACTCTTGCCGAACTGAGCAAAGAAAACTGAAATAGGACAAGCAATAACAGTGGTATTGATGCATCTTGAACAACAAAGGCAAAACCTTCTCAAGTTGTTATCCTCAAACACTCAAACTCTTTGTGGCACTCACTCCCTGGAACTCTAATGGGATGTGGCAGATGACTAAACAACTTATCCACCATCTTTGTTCACAGAGCATAACAAAAACATGGCACTGCTGCTGCCCCAAGCTGTGTCTGTGTAAACTGCATATCTAGCACGGGTCTTAGTGCTCGGCTCACTAAGACAGACAGAGAGATGGCAGGTCTCCATCATCACTCATGCACAGCGCATACCGCTGGGACAGAGAGACAGATTTAGTTTAACATGGACATTCATTCTACCTTAGCACAAACCTTTTGAATTGAACATTATATACAAGTAAAGACCATCTGAACAAAATGTTTTACACTGTTACACTATTTCTATGATCAATGCTGTTTTATCCATTGTACTTTATTGAGGCAAATCTGCTTCAAAGTTTTGAATAGAAAGCAGTGGTTAGAATTCCTTGGTAAAAAAAAAATTGGTTTGATGTCTGATGATACTGAATTATATATCAGGAATATTTTACATGTAGGCCTATTTGCTTTTCTCATCAATATGCAACGACCTTCACACTACCTCATATTGAAGGTGAACTCACTCACCTACAACACAAAGAGGCAAAACATCAGCAAAGCCACTTTGGAAACGCATTAAACCTCCACAATGATCTGATGCAATGTGTGGTTCTGGATTTCACCTGTGAAGTTTAGAACTTACTTGTATGAGCTGCCAACTGTAACTTCCTGTTTTAACTGCCTGTTTAGCGCATCTAGTGCTGCCCTGCCTCTGGCCCCTGCTGCATCTTCTCGCTCCACTTTGATGCTAATTTTCTTTCCACCCTGCTTCTCTGCAGGTTGCTTCTTTTTACTCCCTCCCAGGATTTCTTTTTCTTGCAATTTGTCAGCAATTTCGCATTTCTCCACACCGCTGTCAACCTCCGCGTGCGCTTGGGAGTGTTTGGACCTATCCTGGACGCGATCATCGCCGATAGAGATGGAGGGATTGGGTCTCGGAATCCAAGGATGGTCGCTCCTTTTAGGAATAGGCCATGGCTGGAAATCCTTCTGATATTGTGTCTTGTTGTTAAAAGGGATCTCAGGAGTGTGATATTCATTCTTAGGTTTACAGCTTGGCTCAGGTCGCACTTTCCAGTGTTTAAAGTCTTGCCGCATTACAGAACCACACTCGCGCTCCCCAGACTCAGCGGTGCCAGTCGCGGGGTTCGCACGAGCCGCTACGGCCTGGTCGCTGTGAAAGGGTTGCGTTTCTATGGCGACTGCACTCGCATGTGCGTGGTGATGCGGCTGTTTTTGTTGGTGCTGCAGCTGAAGATGCTGCATCTCCGAGACATCGTACCTGGTGAAAACCAATGGCACCGAAATGTCCCCCTTGTCCAGCTGGTTCCAGAAGCGGGCCATACAGCACGCCCTGGTGATGCAGGGCCACGCCATGTCGGTTTAAGCTCAGTTCCTGCGCGCGATACAATTCTTCAATATGCCACTGATCCGAGCAGGGAAAATGACTCTGTCTCTCCTCGGCTCTTGATGGGCCCCAGTATATTGCTAAAGAGGAACAAAATGTCCGAGTTGTTGAATGGTGCAAGCTCCGATGTTTAGCGAGAATAGAGGAATGATAAATCCATGAACCAAATATGAAGATTACTGTCTCGGATGTTTTCCTTTTGCGCTGCTCTCAGCTCTGCCCGTTCTGTCCAGTCATGCACATTGCATTAAAACAGGGCACTGCAAGGAAAATCGGCCCCGCCCACGCGCTCAGCATCCTCCACATGACAGGATGGGTGCTCAGGCTTGAAGCAGAGAAATAACACCTGGCATCGTCATCATCACGCAACTACTGCAGTGAGGAGAGACATTTTGAAGCTTCAACCCATTCAATTCCATTATAGCTTTATGTTTCCATAAGTTCATACCAAGTTACCAAGAATTTACTAGTAGTAGGCTAATTCATGTAGGGTACAATTGAAGAGGCTAATAAAGCATGACAAGTTGATGGTGTGCTTTAGCATATCAAATAGGGAATAAACTGAGCTATTGCACATACTGCAATTGGATTACATTATTTTTACTTCATTTATGTGTCGTTGTATGGAGGCTTTGGAGTAAAGTTTTACTTAATAATATGCTTTAATTCCCGTCTCCATCTCAACCAAAAATCCAAGTTAAAGAATAGGACTAAAATCAAATCAAACCTTATTTAAAGTGCATTTAAAGTTTGTTTCGATTTGATTCAGTCCTATTCTTTAAATTAGATTTTGGGTTGGGATAGAGACGTGAATCCAACACATCAATTATTAATTTGTAGACAAACTGGAATGGAAGCCAGACTAAGTTAGTGGTACAGATGATGGAACTATCCAAGCAGAAGATACATCTCCTTCAAATGTTGATATTTGGTTGCGTTGACAGCCAAACACAATTCAATATCACTTTTGAAATCCAATGAATAGCCTAATAACTTGAAGAATGGGATTAAGCCAGTGGCTCTGATGGAACTATCCAATCAGTAGATACATCTCCCTTTTTTTTACTCCCTTTTTCTCCACAATTTCGATCTTGTCTCATCGCTGCAACTCCCCAATGGGCTCGGGAGGCGAAGGTCGAGTCATGCCCCGCCAAACCGCACTTCTTAACACCCGCACGCTTAACCCAGAAGCCAGCCACACCAATGTGTCGGAGGAAACACGTTCAACTGACGGCCGTGGTCAGCCTGCAGGTGCCCGGCCCGCCACAAGGAGTCGCTAGAGCACAGTGAGCCAAGTAAAGCCCCCCCCGGCCAAACCCTCTCCTAACCCGGACGACGCTGGGCCAAACCCTCTCCTAACCCGGACGACGCTGGGCCAATTGTGCGCCACCCTATGGGACTCCCGATCACGGCCGGTTGTGATACAGCCCGGGATCGAACCCGGGTCTGTAGTGATGTCTCTAACACTGCCATGCAGTGCATTAGACCGACATCTCCTTTAAATATTGATATTTGGTTGTGTTGTCAACCAAACACAATTTAATATTACTTTTTAAATACAGTAAATGGCCTAAAGATAAGGCTATCTTACAAATTAATGTAACGTTCAACCTTAAAATGAGTAACTCATCCATGACCACATTTTGAGGTTACTGTAACTATAAAAGTCTTATATAATCATATAAAGCATGCATATTCAAGATAGCATGCATAGGTCATCGCAGGTCTGTGGAGATCTTCACAATTGCTGTAATAATCTGTGCAGAATCTTGAACGGCATTCATCACTTGTGCCATGCACTTTTAATGTAATCTCAACTGCAATCCAGGTCATATGGTTGTGCTATTTGGTGAAGCACAGTGATAACATATTAATCTGTTGTATAAATAAACAAAACATCTGACATTGTATTTCCATTTGAACGTTGCTGTGCTTTTAAATGGTTGAAAGCGCAGGGAATAGACATTTGGGTGACAACTAAACCAAAAATCAGACAATGTTTTTCCATTGGAATTTGGTTGTACTTTTAGATGGTTGAAAGCATAATGATAACACGTTGGAAATTCAACTAACTTTTGGCTGTTTTTTTTGCGGGTGAATATTGATTGTAATCTCATTGATCAACGTCTCAACCAACTATTAACCAATTATCCATGTTGAAATGACGTGGTGTGCCCAGTGGGTTATTTGTACCAAATTGCTGGTGAGAGCATACAAATAAGGAATGGTATTCACAGGACTAGTTATCAGTGACATCAAATATATTCCCTCAAGGTTATGATATACATTATGTCAGATTTTCATATGTTTATGGCGTAACAGATAGCCCCCAAATAATCAATATGATGTGAAAATGGAAAAGTCACAATCAATAATGAATCATATAAACCACCTAATAGAAAGATTGATAGAACAGGGCTAATCTCACTTTAGGGCGGCAGGTAGCCTAGCGGTTAAGAGCGTTGGGCCAGTAACCGAAAAGTTGCTGGTTTGAATCCCTGCCCAGACTAAGTGAAAAATCTGTTGATGTGCCCTTAACCCTAATTGCTCCTGTAAGTTGCTCTGGATAAGAGCGTCTGCTAAATGACTAAAATGTAGATCACATCTAGTGTGAATCAACTGCTCAAAGCCCTTCTATAAGCACCTGGATAAAATGTATTGGGACTGAGCACTGATTGGTGAACAGCAGAATATAAAAAGATCAAGAGGTTCAACCACAAGAAGAAAACACACTTAATGGAAAACTAATATGGATATTGATTGGCTACAGGCTCTCAAAGTATGCAGTATCTATAAATACACTGGCTCAGTTCACACTATTGTTGCTGACAGCTCACTGTACAATAACTTTACTTTGTTGTTTATTGTTCAACGTGAAGGGCATTTCAAGTTGCTCAGTACCAGCAAGGTCAAAGTTCTTGAAGCTATAGATATGGGTTGAGTAATTAACCCATGCATTAAAAGGATTGCAGAGATAAGATGATAGGACGACTGTAAAGAAAGAGAGGGAGAGAGGCAGACTTTGGACCTACTTTGCTCATTCCTCTCCTGGGTGTCCTAGTTCCAAGACATTAGCCTCCCATCTGCCTGCACTGCCTAGCTCTCAGCTCTCTCCAGTTCCTCACCATGAAGATCCAGTTTGCCCCTACTGACCTGCCCCTAACCAGGAGACTGCAGATGGCCTCAGTGCTGCAGTGGGTCTTCTCTTTTCTGGGCCTCGGTGAGTGTCTGTCTGCCTCTGCTCTGCTCTGCTCTGTTTGTTCTGGGCAGTCTATGTGTGTTTGTGCTGTGCAGTAGTGTTAGTTAGCCTTTCTTCCTCCTTGCGTAACAAGTGGGGAGCCTTGTGTCCAGTTCTGTTTGTTTAATGGGTTGCTCAGTGTGGAGAAGCTGAAATGGAATTCTATGAGAGTTGCCAGGCAGGCTAACTGCTGGCTGACTTCCATGTGCCCATGGAGTTGTGCCTGAAACGGACCAAGGCAAGTGCGTACAGTAATATATTCATACAGAAGCCACTGCCTTAAGTAACTTTACTAACTCTTACTTAACATGTGTTGGACAGTGGAGAGACCTCCATGGTCTTCAGTGCATGATTTCATGCCAGTGTGTGTCACAATAGATTTGTCCGTTAGGCCTTCCACACTTTTTATTCTCCCATAGATGGATTGGTTACTGTGCATCAGTGGTACCTAGTGGACAAGAGGGAACTCACTGCCTGGTATTAGTTTTTCAAGACCACCAAATGACCTGACCAAGAAGAACTCTGGGTCCTAGTTATTGGTCAATCTGTTCAGGTCACGTGGTCAGGAAAACTCATGGCTTGAGTTGTAGTACAATTCTTGGTTTGCTTAGAAGGTCTCTCTCTCTCTCTATCCCTCCCTACCTTATTCTCTCTCCCGTCTCTCTCTCTCTATCCCTGTCCCTCTCCTGCTCGCTGCTGTTCAGTACGTCAGCAGGTTAAGAGTTGCAACCTAATAGTGCAGTGCCCATCACATCATAAAGCTGCCCTATCAACCTCAAGTCTCCCCAAGTTATAGACTGCCGCTCTTCCACTGTTTTTCTCATATAAACAACCAAATCACCTAGAAAACAAATACATGTATTTGATTTCTGTGAAATTGATTTTAAGACTAATATTCCCAGTTGACTAATGTGTATCTGTTTATGTGTGTCTGTTTGTGTATCTGTCTGTCTATCTGTCTGTGTGTGTGTGTGTGTGCATGTGTGTGTGTGTCTGTCTGTTTTGGTCGTCTTCCTCCAGCTCCATGCTGCATCATGATGTTCTTTGTGTTGATGTTCACGCGGTTCTGGCTGATCAGCGTGCTGTATGCCATTTGGTTTTTCCTCGACTGGGAAACGCCGTCTAAGGGGGGCCGCAGGTTCCACTTCCTGTGCCACCTACGTGTCTGGGACTACATGAGGGACTACTTCCCTGTCAAGGTGGGGTGACTTTGCTGATTTTACTGCAAGCTGATGATGACTATACTTAGAGTCAGAACTGTAGTGTAGCCCTTTTTTGAATGTTCAATGGAGAATACATGTTTCATATAAACACAGACAATTCTCAGACATACTCTGTGGGAGTGCATATACTATGGAGATGGCAAAGACCTTTACTCAACCTTTGGTAGAGGTCAGGCAGTATCTCCAACATCTTTTGCTACCAGTAAACTCTATCCTCCTCATCTCAAATCCCTCCTGTGTTATTTGGACTGGAGGCTGAAGCCCTCTGCAGAGGATGATTGCAGCGATCTGGCAGTGGCTCCTCAGGCCTTATCTCTATACAAGAGCATGCAGGGCCCAGCCAGACAGCACCACTGATAATGCCAATTCTAGAATGAGCTCTCTCAATGTGTGGAGTTATGTATGCTCCCTCCGCATGACGACCACATCCTCCTGCCGCCCATTCTGATCCCACTGTAATTGGCTCATTAGCAGTCAGATCTCATTCTTTGTCAGGTCTCAGTTTAGGAGTGATGCCAAAAAAAAACATGAGTGTTTGTGACTGTATGATTTGGGGGGCTTATCATTAAAAGAGCAGGGGCCAGGTCTGTGCATGTTTTTTGACACGAGGGAGCCTTTCCACAACTGTTGCTGGTTGATGCCGCCATCTAGTGGTGAAATAGGGATTGTGTGTAGAGAGACACGAGTTCAGCTGAGAGATGTAAATTGGAATTTGATCATCAATGGTCTTATCCTAAGAACTCAGTCTCTCAACATCATACTAACGGTGTGATAATAAGATAAGGTAAGATAATATCCTTACGCTGAGATGGGTCTACGCTCTTGCCCTTTGTCAGAATTTACACTTTGTTCTGTACTGTTAATCAAATCAAATCACATTTTATTTGCCACATGCGCCGAATAAAACAGGTGTAGACATTACTGTGAAATGCTTACTTACAAGCCCTTAACCAACAATGCAAAGTAAAACAAATAAAAAAAGTGTTAAGCAAAAATTTTTAAAGCAAATAACTAAAGAGCAGCAGTAAAATAAAATAACAGTAGGGAGGCTATATACAGGGGGGTACCGGTGCAGAGTAAATGTGCGGGGGCACCGGCTAGTCGAGGTAATTAAGGTAATATGTACATGTGGGTAGAGTTAAAGTGACTATGCATAAATAATTAACAGAGTAGCAGCAGAGTAAAAAAGGGGGACGGGGTGGGGGTGGGGGGGCAGTGCAAATTGTCCGGGTAGCCATGATTAGCTGTTCAGGAGTCTTATGGCTTGGGGGTAGAAGCTGTTGAGAAGCCTTTTGGACCTAGACTTGGCGCTCCGGTACCGCTTGCCGTGCGGTAGCAGAGAGAACAGTCTATGACTAGGGTAGCTGGATTCTTTGACAATTTTGAGGGCCTTCCTCTGACACCGCCTGGTATAGAGGTCCTGGATGGCAGGAAGCTTGGCCCCAGTTATGTACTGGGCCGTACGCACTACCCTCTGTAGTGCCTTGCGGTCAGAGGCCGAGCAGTTGCCATACCAGGCGGTGATGCAACCAGTCAGGATGCTCTCAATGGTGCAGCTGTATAACTTTTTGAGGATCTGAGGACCCATGCCAAATGTTTTCAGTCTCCTGAGGGGGAATAGACTTTGTCGTGCCCTCTTCACGACTGTCTTGGTGTGTTTGGACCATGATAGTTCGTTGGTGATGTGGACACCAAGGTACTTGAAGCTTTCAACCTGTTCCACTACAGCCCCGTCGATGAGAATGGGGATGAATGGGCAGGGTCTATGCAAATTAAATACTGTAGTATTTACTATAGTTAAAAAAGTTTTGTGTTTTGTAGTGTTTTTGCAGATATTACTGTAGTATTTACTAAGTGTTTTTTTGCAGATAAAACTGTAGTATTTACTATAGTATCCTACAATATACTACATAATTCTATAGTAAGTACTACACATGATTGAAGGATACTACAGTGTGTAGTATAGTATTCTATAGTAGACTACAGTTTATAACAGAATTCTACAGTAAGTACTGTTGTATTCTATAGTCAACTGTAGTATTTATGTGGTAATTGAGTCAACAGAGAGAGTCTACAGACAGAGCAGTATTAAGGCAAATACAGTACCAGTCAAAAGTTTGGACACACCTACTCATTCCAGGGTTTTTCTTTATTTGTACTATTTTATACATTGTAGAATAATAGTGTAGACATCAAAACTACGAAATAACACATATGGAATCATGTAGTAACCAAAAAAGTGTTAAACAAATCAAAATATATTTTATATTTGAGATTCTTCAAAGTAGCCACCCTTTGCCTTGATGACAGCTTTGCACACTCTTGGCATTCTCTCAACCAGCTTCACCTGGAATGCTTTTCCAACAGCCTTGAAGGAGTTCCCACATATGCTGAGCACTTGTTGGCTGCTTTTCCTTCACTCTGCGGTCCAACTCATCCCAAACCATCTCAATTGGGTTGAGGTCGGGTGATTGTGGAGGCCAGGTCATCTGATGCAGCACTCCATCACTCTCCTTCTTGGTCAAATAGCCCTTACACCGCCTGTACGTTTGACAGTTTTTCTCAATCACGTTCAATCATTTCTTGGAACAATGTTATCGATTTTCAAAGTTAACAATGTTGGAGATGATGACTTAGGAGTAACCCAAAGTTACTTAGAAGTAACCCAACTTCATTCCACAAAAATCACAGAAATTATTGCCTAGATCTTTCCCTATATTGTACATAGTATGACACTGATGGGATGATTTTAGACTTTTGTGCACTAGTATTTACAGACAGCTGGAAACAACATGATTGCACACATTTCTCTTCTAATGAAAACAATGTGTTAATATTCTGTGAAGAAACCACTTAACAGTGAATTTTGTATTCACTCATGACATTTGTATTTAAAGTTTTGCAAAAGGGGGTGTAAGATATGCAACTCAGGTACAAAGGCAAGAAAATGATCAGAAGTTCTGTAAATGTATTTGAACATTTGATCATTGCTGTTTTGCTATAGAGACGTTTCAACACAGATCCAAACAATGGTTGTACCCGATTGAGAAAAAACAGTGGTGTAGTGGTTCCTGGAGAAGTGGGGATACTAACATTTGGCCCAACATTTCCCAAACGGTCCCAACCCAAGCTGTACTGTGCAAGTAGGCACATTTAAGTTTTTATTGTTTCAGGTTTTCACTCTTAAAGTTACCCTTTTTAATAGAAAAACAACACAATTGGATGTTCAAAGTCCATAACAATGCTTAAACCACATCCAGAGACCACTTTTGAGGTCTGGGGTAAATTTAAGAAATTTAGATTTTTGAGGGTAGTTACCCTTTAATTCAAGTGTGGTGTTTCATAAGATGGAGTTTGCAAAACAAATGGCCACTGGATTGATGCAAATAATCATGATATCATTCTGCCAGGTAGGCATAGGCTAGTTTGTAGCTAGTTAACATTTAATTGAGAAGGTTATTGGGAAAGCCTTTCCATCTACCAGAAGAAGGTTAGGATTAGCATCACTATATTTTTCCTGTTCCTTAATTGTTTGAAACCTGGACGTTTTTCTTTATATTAGGAGGCATGTCTTAACTTGCTTCAAAGTAGCCTATAGACAAAATCCTACCATAGAAACGTGGAGGCAATTATTTTATAAAGACTTCCTCGGATGCGTTCTCTTGTCTATTGGTTTTCTGTCAACTTTCTTTCATTGTCTAGCATTATCCTATTCATATTAGCAACCCATGATAGTTGTTACATCTTTAGATCTCCCCTCTTTCTAAATTTCTAATGATATTTACATCTCTGTCCATGAATGGTGTTTTCCCGCAAATTGCTTTTTGGAATATTTGCATGTAGGCCTGCCGCCGTGTGCACATTGCTGCGCCTAAAATGTAAAGAAATAATAGTTTATCAACATTTTAAGCTAAACATTCTGATCTGTTCCATCAACCTTGTATATCTCCACTACACTACTTTGATATGCGTTGTGGGGATTAAGAAGTGACTATACGCAATGCCCACTGAAAAAATAAGTGGGTATATGGTGTATATTTGCGTATACCCTCTACTACACCACTGAGAAAAACTGTATTAGAGAGAGTAATTTCTCCCTCAAGCAAAACATGAATTGGTTCTGAATGCCACATGGTGAATTTACACAGATCGATTCCACATGGGGAATTTACAGTAAACGAGCAACATCATCATTAGTTCATATGGACTTTCCTTCATTTCTCAAGGAAAGATACAGTACATTAAACACAACCAGATACCAAGTACCAAACAAAGATTACTTCTTCAAACCTGGAATGTAATTTCCCCTAAGTGCCAACAGAGCATCTGACTTCATGCATTATTAAGGCTGGAATAAAGAGTCAATGTTAGTCTGAACAGAGCAGTGTCCTTCAGAGGGTGTCATCGGTTTCACTGAGGTCTGGTTCTCCACTACCATCCCTAATGACAGCGTCACTGTCTCCGCCTGCACCCCAACTTCCAAACTGAAAACATTTGACTATAGTTTATAGACACTGACTCCTCTCATCACTTTGAATTTGTAGAAATATATACACTTTTCGTCTTGTTTGAACCCAACTCTAAGCCAAAATCCAACAACATGCCTAAAACCTCTGCTGAGTTCAAATAGTAGAGTTAGATATAGGTTACTGTATATCAAGCATGAGCGGGACACTTTGTGAAAAATGTGTTCACTGTATCGGCGGGCATAGGAGTGGACACCCCTTTTGTTAGTAAACATGGAGGAACAGGAGCCAATGATTAACCCTGAAAAGAGAGGCTGCCTCCAGCGCAGACCAAAATAATGAGTGGCCATTAAATAATTGGCCAGTGTTCTCGCTCTATGGCAACCCACGACTAGAGCTCCATTCTCACTCATACAGACATCTTTGTTGACCAATAGGCCAAACTCTGATAAAGCTCCATTCCCCAATATACATTCAGTACACTTCCGAACATGCATTCCCCACGCCCAGATATTGGGGTGAGCCAAGTACCTCCAGACATCAGAGGACTGCATGGCCCCAGACAACAGAATCAGAAATATTATTGGTATATTTAGTCTTAGAGCTTGACTAATTCTGTGATCTGTTCTTGGAAACAGCAAAATCTCATGATTAGACAGAGGACTACAGACAAACAAGAGAAGGAACAAGAGAAGGTCAAACGGGTTGTTTACAATTGGTGGTTCGTCCTTGAATTAATCATCTCAATCCATTAAGTCAATATATCCCACCATATGCCTGCTTAGTGCTTAGTGTTTACTACGATGACTACCCTTGTTTTGCTAGTGAGAGGTTAGCGTAGCCCTATAACTAATAGGTGGGGACTGGATTCTTGGAGTTCATTGGCCTTGAACTGCTAGTCTCAAACACTGAGGTCGATTCAAAAAGTGTTTTTAGCAGCTTTGGTTTTGACATGTATGCGCATAACATTCCCAGCACATGGTTAACTAACAAGGAACTTTGACCCCATCCAGTGACCTGTGACCATCCTATCAAGGGAGACAACAGGCATGATCCTTCCTCCTGTTTATCTCCAATCTGCCTGTGCAAAGAGACAGGAGACACCGGTCGATACTGGTTAGAGGCAGGATAGTCTCTTCTCACAGCCCCTGTGGAGGCAGGCAAACAACAGCTAGAACTCACACAGGTGACATGTGATGAAGATACACATGACATAAAGATATAGGCCAAATACCTGGAAGTCAATTCATAGGCTTCCTAGAGAGTATGGCTTTCAATACATTTTTGAAATGTTTCAAAAATCTCTCACAAAGATTCAGATTTAGAAATTCATGTGATTGCACCCTGTTTACTGTATAGTACATAACTATTATGACTATTGAATTCACAAGTGAATCCCCTGTGTGTTGTATTGCAGCTGGTGAAGACAGCAGACTTGGACCCCGGGAAGAACTACATCCTTGGTTTCCATCCCCATGGGGTGCTGGTGGCTGGAGCCTTCATTAACTTCTGTACGTACGCTACAGGCTTCAGGAAACTGTTCCCTGGCCTTGACAGCTTCCTGCTGATGCTGCCTCTCTGGTTCAGAGCCCCCTTCTTCAGAGACTACATCATGATGGCAGGTTAGTGGGGTTGGGGTTAGGTCAAGGCCGGGTTACTGTGAAACACTTTGTGACATACAGTGCATTCGGAAAGAATTCAGACCCCTTGACCTTTTCCACATTTTGTTACGTTACAGCCTTATTCTAAAATTGATTAAATAAAAACAAATCCTCATCAATCTATACACAATACCCCATAATGACGAAGCGAAAACAGGTTTCTATAAATTTCTGCAAATGTATTAAAAATAAAAAACAGAAATACCTTATTTACATAAGTATTTAGACCCTTTGCTATGAGACTCGAAATTGAGCTCAGGTGCATTCTGTTTCCATTGATCATCCTTGAGATGTTTCTACAACTTGATTGGAGTCCACCTGTGGTAAATTGAATTGATTGGACATGATTTGGAAAGGCACACACCTGTCTATATAAGTCCCCACAGTTGACAGTGCATGTCAGAGCAAAAACAAGGCATGAGGTCGAGGGAATTGTCTGTAGAGCTCAGAGACAGGATTGTGTCGAGGCACATATCTGGGGGAGGGTACCAAAACATTTCTGCAGCATTGAAGGTCCCCAAGAACACAGTGGCCTCCATCATTCTTAAATGGAAGAAGTTTGGAACCACCAAGACTCTTCCTAGAGCTGGCTGTCCGGCCAAACGGAACAATCGGGAGAGAAGGGCCTTGGTCAGGGAGGTGACCAAGAATCCGATGATCACTCTGACAGAGCTCCAGAGTTCCTCTGTGGAGATGGGAGAACCTTCCAGAAGGACAACTATCTCTGCAGCATTCCACCAATCAGGCCTTTATGGTAGAGTGGCCAGACGGAAGCCACTCCTCAGTAAAATACACATGACAGCCCGCTTGGAGTCTGCCAAAAGGCACCTAAAGACTCTCAGACCATGAGAAACAATATTCTCTGGTCTGATGAAACCAAAATTAAACACCTGAATGCCAAGCGTCACGTCTGGAGGAAACCTGGCACCATCCCTACGGTGAAGCATGGTGGTGGCAGCATCATGCTGTGGGGAGGTCTTTCAGCGTCAGGGACTGGGAGACTAGTCAGGATCGAGGGAAAGATGAACGGAGCAAAGTACAGAGAGATCCTTGATGAAAACCTGCTCCAGAGTGCTCAGGACCTCAGACTGGGGTGAAGGTTCACCTTCCAACAGGATAACGACCCTAAGCACACAGCCAAGACAACGCAGGAGTGGCTTCGGGACAAGTCTCTGAATGTCCTTGAGTGACCCAGCCAGAGCCCAGACTTGAACCCGATCGAACATCTGGAGAGACCTGAAAATAGCTGTGCAGCGACACACCCCATCCAACCTGACAGAGCTTGAGAGGATCTGCAGAGAAGAATGGGAGAAACTCCCCATATACAGGTGTACCAAGCTTGTAGCATGATACCCAAGAAGACTTGAGGCTGTAATCCCTGCCAAAGGTGCTTCAACAAAGTACTGAGTAAAGAGTCTGAATACTTATGCAAATGTTATTTTTGCGTTTTATTCTTTATACATTTGCAAACATTTCAAAACCTGTTTTTGCTTTGTCATTATGGGGTATTGTATGTAGATTGATGAGGGGAAAAAAACAATTTAATCAATTTTAGAATAAGGCTGTAACACAACAAAATGTGGCAAAAGTCAAGGGGTCTGAATACTTTCCGAATGCACTGAACTGAGTGAAGGGTCTGAACAGCTTTGGTACAAAACATTAAGAACTCTTTCCATGACATAGACTGACCAGGTGAATCCAGGTGAAAAGCTATCATCTCTTATGGCTGTCACTTGTTAAATCCACTTCAATCAGTGTAGATGAAGGGGAAGAGACAGGTTAAAGAAGGATTTTTAAGCCTTGAGACATGGATTTTGTATGTGTGCCATTCAGAGGGTGAATGGGGGATGCAACTCAATATTAGGAAGGTGTTCCGAATGTTTGGGATACTCAGTGTATGTTACTGTAAAGACAAGAATGTAATATAAATCAATTGTATTCATTAGCTGATTGATTGGGGACAACCAGCATGATGCAAATTAACAACTTTGAGTTTGATCATCGTTCGACAGTGAAGTATAGTATACCAAACTTTCCCCCCACTATTACAAACACCTGACCTGTGTGTATAATGGGTTTCCCAGGTCTGATTCCCTCGGACAAGGAGAGTGCCAGCTATCTGTTACGTCGACAGGGAGGTGGGAATGCCGTTGTCATAGCAGTGGGAGGAGCCCCCGAGGCCCTGGACGCACGCCCTGGCGCTTTCACCATTCTCTTGGCCAATAAGAAAGGTTTCGTCAAACTGGCAATGGAACATGGGTAGGGTCAGAGGTGGCAGAGGACATTTCATTATCTGTCTCATAACTTATCTCATGGTTGCACAAGTGGCTTCAATTGAATCAATCGCTTCATAGTTTGATATGAATATGTACAGTGTGTACTTGTGGGCGGCTTCCTGAAATAGTGACTTGTGTAAGCCCTTTGAGAATTTATATTGGGCGCATGCAAGCACTGTATGACATGCAGAGGGACAAGTCAAGTGACATCAGTGTTACCCAATTCAGTTTTCCCTTGACTTTGCTGGTTACACAGCAAGTCCAGCTACAGTAGCTCACAACTTATTTTGTGGGATACACAAAGCTTGCTCGAATCACGTGTTTTACATGACTGCTTATGAATTTCATCAATAGTGGAATCATTTAGGACAAACTTCAACACCTAGTAATAAAATGGAAACTGCATGGGTCTGCATTCTACAAATATACTGTACCTTACAAACTCATAGACGATCGTAACAAAACTGAAGGCCAAACTCCTGTCTCAACTCACCTCACCTCTCTTCCACCCCTCTCCTCTCCGCTCCCCTCCTCGTCTCCTCTCCTCCACCCATTCCCTCCATAGTGCTCATCTGGTGCCAGTCTTCTCCTTTGGAGAGAACGAGCTGTTTGACCAGGTGGAGAACCCTCGAGGCACCTGGCTCCGCTGGATTCAGGACAAGCTGCAGAGCATCATGGGTATCTCTCTGCCCCTCTTCCATGCGCGGGGCGTCTTCCAGTACAGCTTTGGTATCATGCCCTACAGGAAGCCCATCAACACTGTGGGTGAGTCACTGTCTCATCTTCACTGCCTAGGACATTGTTCCAATTTCATAGTTAAGTAGACTAGATAACTCTAAGCAACGTTTTAGAAATGTTGGGCCTTGCCAGTTGAAGCCAGAATGGTTATCAGTAGCTGTCCACTATATCTGCCCAATTTATTTATCCTTTTCTCAAGCTATGTTGCAAAGGCAATTGTTGTTTTTGGCAGAGGTTTCATATCAGTAAACTATCTGGCAGAGAGCGACAGAGACGGACACATTTGCCCATCGGCCATATTTGACTTGCTAGATAGTTTGATTGCGTCAGTTTGCTGCAACCTCTCAGCAACAGTTGGCTGGCTGTGTAAATCTATTTGGCAATCCCCACTTGAAAATGGCATCATATTATGTTAAACAAATACCTTTAATAAAAATCATATCCAAAAAGCAAATACATTTTTGCGCATTATGCACTACCACTGTAATCTATATTTGAACGTGATGTCATCATGCATACCCTTTGACCTCTCCACAGTGGGACAGCCGATCAGAGTGGAGAAGAATGAGAAGCCCACAGTGGAGGAGCTGGACACCCTCCATCAGCTCTACACAGAAGAACTCAGCCAGCTGTTTGAGGAGCACAAGGGCAAGTACGGAGTGCCAGAGGACCAACACCTCAGCTTCGTCTGAGCAGGGAGAGAGAGAGAGAGAGAGAGAGAGAGAGGTGTTGAGAGAGAGAGAGAGAGAGAGAGGTGTTGAGAGAGAGAGAGAGAGCACTTTTGGAGTTGCACCACCAAATCCTCTCACTTGACTTTCCTCAAACATAAAAACCTTTAATGCCATAACCAACTAAAGGACCAAACTACAGAAGACAAGCAACACGATGAATTGATATGAACATTCTTAGCCAAGATATGGACAAATCTTTCCCTTCATGCAAACCACTGTATTGAGTATGTGCCTATCCCACACGTATTTACTTATTTCCCATCTTCAGAAAAATGTAATCTACTGGACTGTACTGTGCTCTATTTGTTCTTGTTTGGTGGCTGAGCTCATTAGAATAATAGCCAGTGTGTAGAATAATACCCAAACATGCAAAGGAGGATATTACATTTTTCTACCTTTGTGTACCTATTCAGGATACATCACCATGAAGAGAATGACATTAACAATTATTCATTTCTGTATAGTACAAATCAAGGACCCATGATGTCATTCTGTTACCATCATTCTGCTACCGGGTGTTGATCCACTTCATATACTGTAGTTCAATAACCAAAATATTTTTTTTAAACTCAGTGTCATGTCATAGCTGACACCCCATTCTTTCTGTAGATGTCTTTGAATCTTAATTCGGACTAGATGTGTTTCTGGAAAATGTGGTGACATAAAAAACGTAAGGAGATCTTACTGTCATTATGTAACCAAACTTTGCATCTGCACTGTTCCTCAAGTAAATGTGTTTTAGTGAAATGTTCAGTGGAAATTGTTAAAAGTAGACTTCTGAATATACAGTGAGGGAAAAAAGTATTTGATCCCCTGCTGATTTTGTACGTTTGCCCACTGACAAAGACATGATCAGTCTATAATTTTAATGGTAGGTTTATTTGAACAGTGAGAGACAGAATAACAACAAAAAAATCCATAAAAACGCATGTCAAAAATGTTATAAATTGATTAGCATTTTAATGAGGGAAATAAATATTTGACCCCTCTGCAAAACATGACTTAGTACATGGTGGCAAAACCCTTGTTGGCAATCACAGAGGTCAGACGTTTCTTGTAGTTGGCCACCAGGTTTGCACACATCTCAGGAGGGATTTTGTTCCACTCCTCTTTGCAGATCTTCTCCAAGTCATTAAGGTTTCGAGGCTGACTTTTGGCAACTCAAACCTTCAGCTCCCTCCACAGATTTTCTATGGGATTAAGGTCTGGAGACTGGCCTGTCCACTCCAGGACCTTAATGTGCTTCTTCTTGAGCCACTCCTTTGTTGCCTTGGCCGTGTGTTTTGGGTCATTGTCATGCTGGAATACCCATCCACGACCCATTTTCAATGCCCTGGCTGAGGGAAGGAGGTTCTCACCTAAGATTTGACGGTACATTGCCCCGTCCATCGTCCCTTTGATGCGGTGAAGTTGTCCTGTCCCCTTAGCAGAAAAACACCCCCAAAGCATAATGTTTCCACCTCCATGTTTGACGGTGGGGATGGTGTTCTTGGGGTCATAGGCGGCATTCCTCCTCCTCCAAACACAGAGAGTTGAGTTGATGCCAAAGAGCTCAATTTTGGTCTCATCTGACCACAACACTTTCACCCAGTTCTCCTCTGAATCATTCAGATGTTCATTGGCAAACTTCAGACGGCCCTGTATATGTGCTTTCTTGAGCAGGGGGACCTTGCGGGCGCTGCAGGATTTCAGTCCTTCACGGCGTAGTGTGTTACCAAATGTTTTCTTGGTGACTATGGTCCCAGCTGCCTTGAGATCCTCCTGTGTAGTTCTGGGCTGATTCCTCACCGTTCTCATGATCATTGCAACTCCACGAGGTGAGATCTTGTATGGAGCCCCAGGCCGAGGGAGATTGACAGTTATTTTGTGTTTCTTCCATTTGCGAATAATCGCACCAACTGTTGTCACCTTCTCACCAAGCTGCTTGGCGATGGTCTTGTAGCCCATTCCAGCCTTGTGTAGGTCTACAATCTTGTCCCTGACATCCTTGGGGAGCTCTTTGGTCTTGGCCATGGTGGAGAGTTTGGAATCTGATTGATTGATTGCTTCTGTGGACAGGTGTCTTTTATACAGGTAACAAACTGAGATTAGGAGCACTCCCTTTAAGAGTGTGCTCCTAATCTCAGCTCGTTACCTGTATAAAAGACACCTGGGAAACAGAAATCTTTCTGATTGAGAGGGGGTCAAATACTTATTTCCCTCATTAAAATGCAAATCAATTTCTAACATTTTTGACATGCGTTTTTCTGGATTTTTTTGTTGTTATTCTGTCTCTCACTGTTCAAATAAACCTACCATTAAAATTATAGACTGATCATTTCTTTGTCAGTGGGCAAACGTACAAAATCAGCAGGGGATTAAATACTTGTTTCCCTCACTGTAGGTGTATGGTTTGTTAAGCTTTGCAATCAATGGTTTTTGCTTGGCATACATTTTCAGTGAAAAAGTGAGTTTCAGCTGTGGAATTGCCCTAAGGTCGAATATCCTATCACATATAGCCAGAGGTTGAATTTGTAGGGAGATGTTATGTAATGGGGTGATGCACTATATCCTCACTTATGAGGCCTCTAGATTCCTATAGAAAAGACACCATGTATTTTTTTTGGAAGAATTCTCATTTTACTCACTGTTTTTACATAATAGTAGTATATCTGATTCATAAGTTTCCATTTATATAAATGTCTCTGTCTCAACAGAAGGGTCATATATTAATTTATTTTAATATTGTAATATAAAATCTGTTAAAATAACTGATACCATTTTTGTCACTAAGATTGTGCATTTGTATTATAATATCAGTTAATTTATTTTAATAAAAGTGATTTCAAGTCTCATTCACTGTATAAACTTAACACACAGCTGCCATCCAGTTCTGATTAATTAATCAAGGGTCAGTGACAGCTTGGAGTTGGATCTGATCCTTCAGCGATAAGGCTGTCTGAACTTCAGCAACACTTTTTTTATGACTGCAATGGCAAGGGTAACATATTTCCAAACGGGCAGCAGACTGGCAGCTGGTCACATTAGTGTGACCTGGACAGTGTCCAGGCACTTTCAACAGAGACGGATGACCCTCAGGCAAGGAAAGAGAAGAAAGAAAAGCACAGGGAGAGATAGAGAAAAGACTACAATAAACTACCCACTGGGCAAAAACTGGTATGTCATTTCAACAAAAAAATTAAATAAATGTGATGACGTTTAATCAACGTGGGAAAATGATTGGATTTACAAAAAGTAGTCAACGTAAGGGAATTCCGTCTGTTTTTTTACCCAGCTTTTAACCTAAATCCAATGACATGGTGAATTTCTTTGTTGATTTCACATTTAATTCACGTTATTTGACAACTCAACCAAATTGAAATCAAAACTAAACGTTGAACTGATGTCTATGCCCAGTGGGTAGAATGAAAAGGGCAGGGGAAAGACAAGTGACAAGAAAGTGAAGGAAGGGTGGAGAGAATGAGAGAGTGAATACAAAAAAGAGACACAGAAAGGAAGACGGTAAAGTAGCAGGTGAGAGATATCAAACAAAATACTAATTATTTTGATGAGCGATTATTTAATGGTAATACTGATCTCCAAACATCTTCAAGTTCAGCCAACAATGCAGGACGTGGTGTGGGAGTGTGAGGGGTGTGTGACAATGACCTGCATGGAAAGATGGTCTGGCTCCCCTGGCAAAGTGGCAGGATTGGCAGACTGGCAAGATGACAGTGTTTGGAGAGTTTCCTGCCCTGTGATAACACTTCAATAGTCTATTTCGATTCTTCATAATATGTTAAGGTGAAGAATCTAAATAGATTATTGACACCAACAGGAGTATAGAGTGGTCTGTAGAGTACTTCAAGTAATTCAATCCGTAATCAAATCCACAATTCACAATTACTTTTTTGGGGGGATAGACATTGTGTGTAACATCAGGGCTACAGCCAGGTCGCTAGCCCCCAACTGCATTATTTGACATGTGTCCAGTGGGGTTATACCGGGTAAAGTCAATGTGAAATCAGATTACAATATCCTTTTTTAAAATATCAATGCCTTTATCAAAATGTATATTTCTGGCACCATTGTTCTTGTTTCCTCAAGTCTCAAATATACAGTGAGCTCCAAAAGTATTGGGACAGTGACACGTTTTGTTGTTTTGGCTCTGTACTCCAGCACTTTGGATTTGAAATGTTACATTGACTAGTGCAGACTGTCAGCTTTGATTTGAGGGTATTTTCCTCCATATCAGGGCAAACCGTTTAATAATTACAGCACTATTTGTACATATAGTGCCTTGAGAAAGTATTCACACCCCTTGACTTTTTATACATTTTGTTGTGTTACAGCCTGAATTAAAAATGGTTACATTGAGATTTTTGGTCACTGGCCTACACAAAATACCACATAATATCAAAGTTGACATAATCAGTTGCATGGGCTCATTCTGTGTGCAATAATAGTGTTTAACACAATTTTTGAATGACTACTTCATCTCTGTAACCCCACACATACAATTATCTGTAATGTCCCCTCAGTCGAGCAGTGAATTTCAAACACAGATTCAACCACAAAGACCAGGGAGGTTTTCCAATGCATTGCAAAGAAGTGCACCTATTGGTAGATGGGTAAACAAAAACAAAAAAAGCATGGTGAAGTTATTAATTAGACTTTGGATGGTGTATCAATACACCCAGTCACTACAAAGATACAGGCGTCCTTCCTAACTCAGTTGCCGGAGAGGAAGGAAACAGCTCAGGGATTTCACTATGAGGCCAATGGTGACTTTAAACCAGTTACAGAGTGTGATAGAAAAAACTGAGGATGGATCAACAACATTGAAGTTACTCCCCAATACTAACCTAATTGACAGAAAGAAATGAAGGAAGCCCTGTACAGAATAAAAACAATCCAAAGCATGCATCCTGTTTGCAACAAGGCCCTAAAGTAATACTGCAATAGTGTTATGTTTGAAGCAAATCCAATACAACACATTGCTGAGT